GAAAAGCATTTTACATTTAGGCACAGCCAGGCAGAGTTTTTCATTCGGTCTCTGTCTCCACGAATGAGTAGTGACACTCTGGAGAAAATAATAACTCAGTCTTTCCACAGTGCACTCTTATTTTCACAGTTTAGCGAGCTGCTTTGTCCTCCCACTTATGTTTTTCACTAAATTATTTTAGAATAATTAATAGTCTGAGTCATTTTTTTTAAATCTGTACCTTGTTCACCCTGAATTCGAAAAAGCAAGTTTTGATTGACATTGATGAAATTTCTGAATACACATAAGTATTTTTTTTTTTAATAAGCATACAAAAATGTAGCTTTGGTGCCTTGCAAAAAGTGGTTGATGATTGTAAATAAGGACGGTGAGAGTTTGAGGTAATTTATGTGGGTGATTTGGAAATGCTCAGGGGACAGGCTGTCAGCGGCTACTCACAACACTCTGAGGGATGGAAGGACGTTTGGTTTTGCCCTTGATTTATTGCTGCAGAAAGTCTTTTTCATTCATTGGCGTGTCTCCCTCGCAGTTAAATGCAATGGTTCACGACTGTTAATTTTTTTGTTTTGTTTTTTCAGTTTTGTTGGTGTTGCTTGCTGTTTTTTTTCCTCACACTAATTCTGAAAATAGTTTCTCATTGAGTCACAGAAAGCCAGTTTCCCCATCCTCTTGCTAATGATCATAAGTGACATACAGTGAGAAATATGGAGCTGTATTTTAAGATGAAGCATCACTGGGTCCTCGATAGCATTGCGAGTCCCACTGGTTATATAACCACCAATCCTGCCTTGTATAAGTTGCCTTGCATTTAGTTAACTGTAAATCTTACCACTCTGCATGTGAACCCTGCCCTGGTGAAAACTCATTCTTTCTTCCTTCCTCTCTTTTTCATTCATTCTGCATACACCTGAGGCAGTAGCGGCCCACTTCCAAACTGATCAGGCATTGTGCGTCCCTCCATTGCCCTCTTTCTCTCTCTCTCTCTCCACTCACCCCATGTAGAATTGGTCTTTCTCTGAAGCCTGCTTTATCATTCATCGCTCCCTTCCCAAGCCTCATCAACAAAGCGATCCACCTCCCATGATCTTGCCCACCTTTTGCTGTTTTAGCACTCGCGAGACAACCGAGGGAAAGGAAATGAGGAAAAAACCTAACAGCCAATTTACATTCTTTGTCAGCTGAGAGAACTAGACGCTTTTTTGTTTTGCACTAGGCGCATTTGTATTCTAATATCCTGGATGTGTTCCATACACATGCATGATTGTTCCCGAATGCCCTGTGTCTCTTAGATCCATGCGTGCCCATAAATTTTATCTTCTTTTTAAGATTTATTTATTCATCCACACTAGTTTCAGTTTCAGATATTGCAACAAGTGAATCCAACTGACCATCAAGAAACTGATTCATTAACAATAAGAATTCGATACAGAGGTGAAAAACTTTGCACTTCCATATTCGTTTCTCGTTTACGATGCCGAAAGTTAATGGAGTAGCCTGCTCAAACATGTGTCGGCGAGCAGCTCAATCAGATCAGCAGGGGGTGGCCGTCTTTCTGCCGGAGAAGTCAATACCGCCCACTCTCCCGTAACCCCCTGCTTCGGCTAAGGTCAGAGTGCTGGACATTGGCTGCACCGTGAACGGGCTGACCCAGCGGGTATCTAATTTAATGAGAGAAAGAGTGAGAGAGGACCAGACAGAAAGATATAGAGTGAGTTTGGAGGATGAGCTTAAGGAATTTTATAAGCCAATTACTGCTCAAATACTTTAATGAAACTCTCTCGCACCTCAACTATTCTATACTCTCTCTCATTAACGCTCCATGTCGTTGGAGCGCTTTAGTTGTATGATGTTACAACGAGCTGGAGAGCTTTAGCTGCACATTTCAGGAATACCAGCGAAAGCCTACAGCTCCAGATAATAAGCACACATAAGAAACTTTACACACACAAGTAAACACACACAAATACACCAGCACAGAGAGAAGGAGAATGATTTATGTGGGGAGGTTGTGTGTGTACTCTGGGGGCATGAAGAGACCCAGTGGGGGTTGTTGGCGGGTCTAAATTACCTTTATTAGAGCCAACGTCTGCAGCTAACACTGCTGTTACTCAGAGAGAGGATCAGTATGTCCCCTCAGAGCAGCCCACCTCAGCACAGCTACCACACACACCTACATACAAGGACCCATATACAGTATCTCCAATGAGATTCTCATACTAATGCAAGACAAAAACAACTAATGATATCACAAATCACGGGGACATCACAATTACCACTAGATTAAGGCTCTAAATAGCATTGTTGTAAAATTGTTCAGCCAAACATGAAAATACAGTATTTTTTTCAATCTCATGTTGATTCAAACTTGTATGTATGACTTTCTGTTTTCTGCTGAACACTGAAACATTTTAAGGGACTTTCATGCTGCTCTTTGCTATGCAATAAACACATACAGAGAAGACAGGCAATTCAGCTCCAAATAGGACAAAATATGTATCATAAAAGTATATGATAATCTCCTGAAGCTGATACTGTAGTTTGTGTGAGAAACAGACCGAAATGAAGCCACTATTATAATATTATATTGTATGACATAATATTGTCCTCTGCTATACTGTAGCTCTCAGATCTGTTTAGTGCATAGACATACTTAAATCTGTGAATGACATATATGAGATAACATTTTCTTTTAGAATCTTCAAGAAGCTTTATTTTTGGGTGAATTGTCCCCTTAAGGTTCTGGGTTGAAGATGAAATGTGGCTGGGTCTTTCAGCATGACAATGATCCCAAACACACCGCCCGGGCAACGAAGGAGTGGCTTCGTAAGAAGCATTTCAAGGTCCTGGAGTGGCCTAGCCAGTCTCCAGATCTCAACCTCATAGAAAATCTTTGGAGGGAGTTGCAAATCCGTGTTGCCCAGCGACAGCCTCAAAACATTACTGCTCTAGAGGAGATCTGGATGGAGGAATGGGCCAAAATACCAGCAACTGTGTGTGAAAACCTTGTGAAGACTTACAGCAAACGTTTGACCTCTGTCATTGCCAACAAAGGGTATATAACAAAGTATTGAGATGAAATTTTGTTATTGACCAAATACTTATTTTCCACCATAATTTGCAAATAAATTCTTTAAAAATCCTACAATGTGATTTTCTGGATTTTTTTTCTCATTTTGTCTCTCATAGTTGAGGTATACCTATGAGGAAAATTACAGGCCTCTCTCATCTTTTTAAGTGGGAGAACTTGCACAATTGGTGGCTGACTAAATACTTTTTTTCCCCACTGTATATATGTTATGGGTTTGATCCGGGTAGGGTTAAGATTGAAATGGAGAAAGCTTCCACAAATCGCTGCAGTGTTTTCCTCAGTGTCTGCAAAATGAACAACCTACCTATTCCTCCATTACAACTATTTTCGAGCAGTATTTTTGTCAACCCCTTGACATTTCACTGTATTTCCTCTCAGTTTACAGCCAACTGGTTCCCCATATAAGGATCAGGCCTCATGATGGCTTAGTTCCTACAGATTGTACACTATCCTGTATGACCTTTCCAAGCATGTGCTTTAGACGCATCCCCAGGGAAACAAAACATGCTCAAATGGGTGCTGATTCACGCAGGTCGTCATGCTGCCCACAGGGGCCGTTTGCAGAATCCGTGAAAGAACGTTTGGCAAACCCACCCTGAAATGTAGCCAGTTGTGTTTCTAGCCACACCTGAATTGAACCTTGTGTCACAAATATTCTGTACAGGCCAAATGTTTTCAGACCAATTTTCAAACCTTTGAATTCCAAGCACGGTTTGGTAAAAACATTCAGACATTTCAGGAACAAGTGAAATGAGACAGCCAAAGCAGCTGTTTAAACATATTAGTCCACAGCACAGCCACACAGTCTCTCCTGTCACTAATACCAAATTCATCAGCTAAGGCTACTCTAGTATCTTAGAGCTATTTTAACTGTTGTTCTCACTTGACACATAACAATGACTATTTAAAGAGTTCCTTTGTGTAAAATAATGCACAAACAAATCAATACAAGACATGTAGCTGTTTATTCTTCTTTCAAAAGGTCATTATAGGGGCTTGATTACACAACATCTCTCTGATAAATTTTTTTGACAACGTTTATTAGAATTTATCTTTAAAGCTGCCTTGTATCTGTAATTGCGACTGACTTTTCTTCACTATTGTGACATTTTTCCAAGTGAAACAGCTTTTCAAACAAAAAGAAAAATGTAGAGCAGTTCTTGATTTTGTCCATCGGGAATGGATTGGATTGTTAGTTTACTGTCGCTTGCTAATTTATGCGATGGTTTCATGTGAGTGACAGGTTGCTGGAGGAGAGGGATTGAAACTCGTCTGGCCATAAGACAGTTTTATTGCCCTGCGCCTGTGTACACATCATCAAGGAAGAGATGTTGTTGTGAGGGGCAAGGGGCTTTGTTTTTGATTAAAGATTAAAGATTATGATGGCATGAGTTGGAAAAAAACAATGATGTGCATGAATCATTTATAATAAATTCTGCAGTATTCCATAAAAAATATGAATTGCGACCATTTTTTCTAGTGGTGGATAAAATGGGAAGTATCACCATTACTTTTGTTGATTCTTTATATGTTAATCTTTAGCAGGTAACTTCTCCCACTCATTTTATGTTGCATGAATAAATGTTGAAATCATATGACTTAAGTACAAGATGTCCTGTTACTTTTCTAAGTGGTCAAACCAGACAATAAAGATCCCTTAGACAATGAAAGAGGGTCCCAAGTCATATTCAGGAGCCAGAAAATCATAGAAACTTGGCAGTGAAGGTGACTTGGGCCATCAACCTGATAGCAACTGGCCCTAGCAACCATCCGTAAAGATGTTTTACAGGGGCAAACTTTTTTAATATTGATTACATTACATTACAGCATTTTCACTCCTTCTGAATCCATTGCATCCTGTTCCTTTATTCTTAAGTGATCATTTCTCTCTCTTGTGTCTCTCTCTCCACAGCCATGCATCTCTTTGGATTGAATTGGCAGCTGCAAGAGACTGAGGGCTATGCTTTTGAGAACGGCCAGGTCAAATCTGACGCCACGGCAACCAACGCAGTTACTGCCCTGTCTACTGAGAACAGTAAGGGTCAAACGCACACGTACCCACTCACGCACTGATGCATAATATGGCACAGGCACAATCTGTTCAAGCCCCTTCACCAGCACAAAACACATTTGCATTAAGTAAACAGACTGGAGAACACACACACAGTAATAGGCTAGAGAAAATTACCAAACAGACTCACTCCTACACAACTACACCTCTAGGACCCTCTGCCATGAAGACCCACACTCCCTTAAATAAACATAACTTGAGCTAAACAAACACCCACACACACTGCCACCCCCACCCCAGCCACAAACACTCCCACACACAAATGGAAATCACTCACTCCAAAACCATTTTCTTTGCACCATGCCATCTTTCCTGGCACTCGGGTGTGCGTTTCAGTATTCTGTGGTGAGTATAATCCTCTCTGTGTTTGTGAAAGCAACAGGCTTACATTCCTCAGCATTTAGACACTAGTCTTACAGTATCAGGGCGGCTGCTTTGATGTTTCGGCTGTCACGGCTGTTGCAGACATGTCCGGGAACAGTCTGGGAATCAGGAAGATGAGCCAAAAAACATTTAGGTGAAAATATTGAGTTCAAAGAAGAGAGTGTTTTAATGGGAGAATATGAGTGGGCTGTGTGTGTGCAGAATGCACAATAAATGAGTTTGTGGGATTGTCTGGGCCTTTCAGACCATGAAGCCAAGTAGTGAGAATTGCGAAATGCCCTGGCATTCTACCCAGAATCTCTCTTTCTTTATCTTTCTCTCTCTTGAAAGTAGGATTCACTCTGTCCTTAATATTAGCTGTCACACAAACCTACTGACCAGTGAAATGGAGTGCCATTTTTACATGCACTCAGAAACACACATTGGCTACGCTCAAACAGCAGCAGAAATGGCTGTCAGTCATGTTTTACAGTGCTAAATTCAGTTCCATTCATGCTTAGTTCAGTTATAAATGGACTTAAACTTTCAGCATTCACAACTGCATTTTAAGGCCCTGTGTCCACCAGGCACTCTGCTGAAAACGCCCAGCTGCGAGAGCTTGAGAGCGCTTTTTGTGGCGCAGCGTTTTTTCAGTTGAGACGCTTTGGTTGCTATGATACAGAATATCCGCTAAACTGTTACTTGTATCTAATTTGGTAGATAATTTGTTTCTGACTAAAACGTTGACACAATGTAGAGTACTTGCTCTGGTCCTTGCTTTGGATGGAGGGGTGGTTGAACCACGTAAAAAGAAAGGACGGACCCGCCGGTCTGTGTGAGTTTATGAGATTTTGGGCGTGCGAAAACAGCTCGGTGAGTATCATCGTTTGGTCCAAGAACTGAAGTTGGATGGAAGCCAGTTCAAGGAGTACTTTCGGATGAGCAGGGCACAATTTGAAGTGGAGGAAGGCATCTCAAAGCCCCAGATAAACTTAAGAGAAAATGCTCGTCATCGTCATCATTATTAATTGCCTTCAGGACACAGAGCTGATATTCTGAGATATCTGGCTCAGACTTTCTCTTTGGAGCCAGAGTGCGGCGCAAAGGTATTTCAGGTGTGCAGGGTGCTGGCACATCAGGGGATTTGGGAGATCTAGGCTGTGTGCTGTTGGCCTGGGTTTGGGTCAGTGACAGGAATTGTGCATTCTCATCTGTTGTCTGTGAGGGAAAAAAAATTATAATAAAAAAATATATATAGCAATTTATTGATAACATATACTGCTGCTATTACTACTATTAATAATTGCCTAATAATTCCTTTAACAGAAAAAAACGTCAATGATTGCAATTTATTAAACAGATATAGCAGCAAAACAGATATAGCATCACTTTAACATTGAAGTTCACATAGTATGCTACACTACCTCCACTGGTGTTACCAGGGACTCAAGGAGAGCTTTTGACTGAAATTGCTAGAGGTGTCCCTGTCCTGGATGTAAGGCTCCAGAAAGTTTAGAATGGACATAAACTTCCACCTCCGATTGCCTCCTGCTGCCCCTCAACCTGGCCTCTTTCTCTCTTTCTCTTCATTTTTCTGTCTTTTATATGTGTCCCTCAGGTACTTCCACGTTTTACACATTTTTCTACTGAAGTTTATATGGACAAAAAGATTAGTCCGTTTAAAAAAAACAAAAACAAAACAACTGAAGCAAGAAAAATATTCTGACTGCCAGACATTAACGTTACATATATACATTTTAACAAACAAAATGGTTTGCAAGCTAGGCTACATAGCTTTTTCCTTATTTCCTAACTAGTTGTCTAGGTACTGGCTGCTTACCTGGTAGACCCAAGGCAAAGGAAATGTTCCTCCAGGCATTATTTTTCAAATTTACATTGTGGTAGTCCGGGGAAGTCATCTGGTAGAGACATGGATGCTCAGAAACCAGCAATATTAATTTCTCCTCCATTTTTCCCGTTGTTGTGCTTGTTGACATGTCGTTGTAACAAAATGACAGTTGTGACAGTTGATCGGTGTGGAATTTGCCCTGCCCCTCCTGCACTCTGATTGGTTAGCTGACTAGAAAGTGACAGTGATGAGCGGAGCGTTTTATCCAAAGTTGAACATTCTTCAACTCTCGGCGCGAGAAAAAACGCCTGGACGCTCTGAGCGAAAAAGACGCTCAGCGCTCGGCACGCTCCTGGCGTTTTAAAAAACGCGGCGCTCCCATTGAGAACTACCGAAAAAATACGCTAGCCGCGGGGAAAAACGCTTTGGTGGACACAGGGCCTAAGAGTGAGTTCGTTAAACCTTTGCTGTGTGAATGTTGGACTATTATTACTCTCGCCACAAAAAGGGAATTTCTTAAATAGTATGTTAAAAAAAATGTACATTGAAAAAGAAAATATGTAGAGCAGGGACTTGGTTCAGTGCATTGGTTGTTGAATGGATTTTGCGATGAGCTTGCAGGGGCTGGATTAAATTGACTAAATGATTCAAGAATTCTTGCATAAATCACCAAAAAGAAGTATGTCATTTTCACAAGATTTTGATCAAAAATTACGAGCTCACAACATTTATTTTTTTATTAAACATACATGGATGAGCCGTTAACAATAGAAAAAAAGAAATAGATTTCATTTCATGCCTACTTCAAATTACTTTAAATCAAGATTCATTTACTTGAGGCAAAGTGACATACGTAACATATCAAGTCTTTTTTTCTGATAAATTTAACAAAATGAAATGAGTTAATTCTTAAAATATAGGAAAATATCTTTCTGTCCACTACGGGAAGAAAAATAAACTTGTTTTCTTTTTGAATAAGTAAAATTTCCCATTGGCAGATATTTGTTCTTGCTTTAAACAAACTTTTTTAATTAAAAAATAATATTAATAATAATAAAATATCTTACATTGTTTTGTTTCTCAAGTGGATCGTGTCATACAGTGCAATTGTGTTTTATTCATGTTGTGTTTTTTCATGTAGAGTTTCAGTATTTAAAAAAAAAACATAGATACATGTTTCTTTTGAGGGTTTTCAATCCAGTCATTGTATTTTCTCCAGATCCGCTCTCATCAGTTTTGTGGTATAAATGACCCAGATGCTGCGTTCTACACTACACTATGTTCTACAAAAATTATACAAAAATTGAAAGCCATTGTCGGTTAATTAAGATTTCACGGATGAACTCGCACTTCGACTTGTTTATTAAATAACACCATGTCAATTGTGAAAAGACATGCCTGTGTTGATGTTTACTGTTACTTTGGTTACTGCTATTCTGGTGAGAATAGAACAGGGGGCTGACTTCAGTTACTCGTTCATACAGACAGTATTCAGTTCACTTCTGTAAGCTGTAAGGGGTCCTGAACACCTGTTGTGATAAAATGGTGCGAGTAAATACAGCTATCAGTCCCAAACATTGAGTGCCACTGATGCACAGTACATGCATCACAGAAAGGAAAGTGCTAACTTATCAAATGCATTCATTGATACATGCCTGCCAGAGATTTTAAGTCTGTCTGCACTAAAATTCACAAGACAAGTCACACACTCATAACACACAGAAAGTAAGGTCAAACTTCAGGTGATAGGTTTCATTTGAATTAGAAATAAAACATGAAAAAGTAAACATAACAATTTTATTTATTTAAATATTTGTACTATTTTTTTATCAAGTGGCACAGCACCTTGGGGCATTCTGTCTACCTTTGCTGGCATATTTACATATTTTAAAATGTTTTTAAATATTATAAAATAGAATGCAACAGTTGGGTTCCAGTAGTAAAAATTCCAGTAGTCATAGTTTTATATTTCACCATCTTTTAGAATTAGATTGTCATTCCCAATGCTTCATGGGATTGTAGTTCTTTCCTTAATTAAAACCATTATGTATACCGTTCAATACCGCTGTCTTTTTGTCCGATTTTCACATACTTTTTTTGCTTCAAATTAAAGTTTGTAAAGTTGTAATTCAACTTATAGCTGATTGGCTTGTTACATGGCATATAACGCTTTAACAAAGCATTTTTTTTAAATCCCTATAGGAAAAATAAATAGAAAAAATACCAGAACCAAGGCTGCTGAAAAAGTGGGCGGGCACTAATGCATTCTATATACATCTGTGCTTTACAGGAGCCAGTGAGATTTCACTGTGGGCAGAGCAAAGTTGTGGCAGATCAAGAGAAGAGCTCATATTAAAATGCAAGAGATGCTTTTGGTTTGTCAACATGGTGTAAGGCACTTAAGATTAACAGCATAACCTAAATAACAAATACAATAAGAAATAAATAACCTCACAGAAAACGTATCGTTTTCTCCCACCCACCAGCAGGTGTATTCCCACAAGGTATCCTCACTTAAGTACTAATTCAAGCACTCAGACACAGAGGGACACACACTCATGCTGTGAAGATGGATGGGCATATGTTTGAAGGCCATTATGATGATGCCCCTTACGGTAATGTGTTTGTTTTTGAGGTGATGGACGTGTCCACGCTTGCAGTGATGTAGCATTAGATCAGGGCATTTTTGCATCAGCTATAAGACATTTTCAGTCTCTATAATGTCTATTTGTCATCAGCAGAGTTAAGAAAT